GCCAAATTGAACTATTGAAAGGCAAAAGCTAAACTCAAAACAAGGGTTAAGCCAAACCACCAAGAAGAAGCTAAACCAAACTCCACCAAATGGGCCAAAACAGAGAAGATTTTCAGCATGAATCCAACTCCAAAGAGCCAAAACCGAGGCCTTTAAATGGGCCAAAAGAAAACAGAGAATATTTCCAGCAAGGATCCAACTTCAAAGAGCCAAAACCAAGCCACTAAGAATCAGATCCCACAAAACATTAAAACCCAAAATTTACATCCAATATACATATACTTCGATCGGGAACAGGCAACAGGAAACAGAGAAGCGTAGATAGGTATTTAAAACCAGCATTCCAAAGTATCGAAACAACTTCCAACATGTATTTGAACAAGGATAATAATAATAAAAAGCCTAAGAATTAAATCTCGAGCCAACATTTCTTTTAGCATGTGTTTCAAATAGACGGCTATCATCTCATGACAACCATTAGAATGTTCTAACATTTCATCTATCATGCATTTTTTAGCAGAAAAAGGAGAAGAATATCCATATTATGCTTCACTTTTATTAATTCTAGCAAGTATCCATGCTTAAATCTCAAAACAAGCCTAAATCTTGCTTTCACATGCTTTTAAAGAGCAAAGAAGTATTTTTTTATATGTCATCCGAAATGTTGCAAATTAGAGGAAGGAAGATAAATACCTCTTAATGCCGACTTAAAGCAAAAAAAAGTAAGACAGATCCAATAAAATGCCTCCTAAAAAAATCTTCTTCCTAAAAGCTTCAAGAAGTAGCAACCAACAAATCTTTTAAACTCCCAGCACAAAAAAAAAAAAAAAACTAGCCAAGAAGAAATTTCGACAGGACCTTCCTCCTAAAAGCTTCGAGAAACAGCCACCAACGAATGCTCCACTCCCAACGCACGAAAACGTAGTTTAAAAAGGATTTTGACAGAATTTTCTTTCCTAAAATTCTTTCCTAAAAGCTTCAAACAGTGAAACCACAACCTCCCTTTCACTCTCAAAATTTTCAACAATCCAGAAAAGTGTTTTATGAAGCTCTTTTATAGACAGAGAAGAGAGGGGGGAACAACCATCTACCACCGCCTCACTGCCGAATAGAACAGGGATGAAATCGTCATAATAAAAAGGGAGAGCGTACATCCTCGAGAAGGAGAAAGGTCGGCCAACTCGCTCCCCTATAATTGGAGAATCAAAAGATCGAACGACTACGTGAAGAAGGGGAAGAGACGGAAGAGGAGAAGGTGGCCGCGTGGATCTTCCACGAGAACTAGGGTACAGATGAGAGGGAGCCGAGTCGAGCGCAACAGCTGTTCGAGCCACGGGACGGGTCGAACGAAAGATCAAATGTGCGGGTAGCGGTGTAAATAGGGTTTAGGGTTTAAATTAAATTATAATTAGTGATATAATTATAAAAATACTAAATATTTTGAAAAATAAAATTTGATCTGTCCCTTTTATTCGTGTGTCATAGTATATCGAAAATGGATGTCATTTCTTACTAAAATTGGTGTCTCAGACACGTTGGTGTAGTACATTTTGTCGTCGGAAGTCGTTCGGAGAAGTTTGTATTTTCACCCATCATTTAAGCTCAGTTTTAGTTCGATCTTGTGCAACGTAGTGAATTTTGTGCATTTTGTGTATGTGTGTGATGATGAAGTCTTGAAGAGGTTTTCCTAGGGTTTGAGATCCTATTGAGAACATTTTCCTGAGTCTCCACATGATAGCCCTTAACCGCTCGTCCATAAGACGATGTTTTTGAGACAATTAATGATAGATATCACAGGAAAATAGGAAATGACTGAAATTTCTAAAAAGGGTGGGTCACAATTCTAATTTTCTAAGATGATCAATAGGAATCCCTAGAACTAGATTCTAGGGTCTTTTTAGGAAAGGGTAATGACCTGAAAAATGAGGTCAACAAACATACTATAATTTGCAGGAAATTTTAATAAATTGCACAGAAAAGAAGAAAACAGTAAGCAACATAACAAATCGTAACAACAGCTAGGAACTCCAAACAAGTGATCCTAAGGTTTTCTAAAACTTCGGACTGCAACTAGCGAGCTAGTACAGTGATCCTACAACCTCCTACGACTCTGAGCAATAACTAGCAAGTGTCTATTGTGATCCTACAACTCCGGACAACAACTAGGAACCTCAAATAACACCTGTATGACTTCATGCGAACCCAAACAACGATGGGCGACACCTATGTGGCATCCTACGAATCCAAACAGTGGTGGAAAACACCTATGTGGCCTCCTACGAACCCAAATAGCAGTGGGCAGCACCTATGTGACCTCCTAGGAACCCAAACAGCGGTGGGCAGCACTTATGTGGCCTCCTACGAATCCAAACAGTGGTGGACAACACCTATGTGGCCTCCTACGAACCCAAACAATGGTTATAAAGTCCAAACATTGGTTACAAAGCTTTTCATCAGTCCAAACAGCTGCTATAAAGGTCAAACAGTGATTACAAAGCTTTCTATCACTCCAAACAACAGCTATGAAGGCCAAACATTGCTTACAAATCTTCATATCACTCCCAACAGCAGCTATAAAGGCCAAACATTGCTTACAAATCCTCCTATCACTCCCAACAGTAGCTATAAAGGCCAAACAATGCTTACGAAGTTTCCTATCACTCCAAACAACAGCTATAAACGAAAAACAACAGCTTTAGAAGGCAAACAATGCTTACGAAGTTTCCTATCACTCCAAACAGCAGCTATAAAGGCCAAACAACGCTTACGAAGCTTCCTATCACTCCAAATAGCAACTATGAAAGGCAAACTGTGCGTACGAAGCTTCCTATCACTTCAAACAACAACTATAAAGGCCAAACAACACTTTTAAGCCCCCCCACAGCAGTTTTCAAACCCCTAAATGCTACCTGCATCTCTTCCAAAATAACAGGTGAACCAACCCCAAGAAGATATATTTAAACCTTCCCCAAACAATGTATCTTATGCAACGAAAGACTTAATTTGTCAAATATGCAAGTATTCGAGTGAGTTTTAATATGAAGAGTAGGTTTCAGGTGAGTGGCAAAACGTCAATGCATGTACCTTTCCAAACAACTCAAGCAGCAAGACATCTATCAATTACCTTTGGCCACCACCTTCAATAGAGGCAGCAAACTGCTTTGCATTTGTATGTTAAGCCCCTCAATAAGGTCCATTAAACTTATGTACCGACAACTTCATAGTGAGGTAGAACACCAAAATTATAGTGCAGTAAATACGATCGCCCAACCTAACAACCTAGACCAACAACAAGAATGCATGCATGTGGAGAGGATTCCATTTCAAATTTATGTAAATAATTTGATAGCCATAAGATGCAATACCTGGAAGAATATACCTGGCCTTACCTTTCTTTGAAAAAGGAATGGGAGAGTGAGGTAGCTGGTCGCTGGCTAAAAGGAGGCCGGCTAGAGCTTCGATCCCGTGAGGCGAGCGAGCGTCTCGGGCAGGGGAGGATGTCCTGCCGGCTGGAGCTTTAGTTGTCGAGAGAAAGAGGCGAGCCGGGGGCTCTGGTGCGGGGCTTCGGTGTGGAGCGGCGGCGAGTGGGAGTGTGGTCGAGAGCAGGGATCCGAATCCCTGGTGAGGAAGAGACGAGCAGGTGGGGGGGCTTAACGCAGAGAGGAGCGGGCGAGGGTTTTAGTGCGTGAGGCAGAGGGGGAGAGGAAGGAGCGGGGAAAAAGGGGAAGCGGAAGAGAGAGCTGGCGAGCGAGCTTGGTGCAGAGGCGAGCGACAGAGCCGAATCGTGCCCAGCGGGGCCAAATTAATCGAGGGAGAGTTATCGGGCCGTTACGCGAAGCAATTGGCGAGGAATTAAAGGACTTCCATACGCAGAGGAGGTTCAATTGGAAAAAAATTAACACCTTATTATATTCAATTAAGACAAATTTCAATAATTTGTTTGAATTTTGAAATTTGAACTTCGAATTTAGGTGAGTTGGTGCCTAGCTCGTGCTCATCCCGAGTCCAACCTGAATCGAATCCGAATTGAACCCGAGTCGAACCTGGGTTGATCCCGGGCCCACACACCGTTAATTAAAAAAACATTCATCGATATCCATGAAAGTCGCTTGCACGCGAACAATATGAGTGTTCTTCTTAGCTAAAGTCGACGATCCAGACGCATCCGTGTTTCGTTTCATCATCTGGGGTCGTCCGGACGAGTTCGCCGACGGGCAAGTCAATTCAACCCAAAATTGTGTGGGGTGCGATGCGTGCGCAAAATGCAGCGTTATCAAGCGTTCGGGTTGCAAGAGGTTCCTTAGGGGCCGCTCCTATTAATTTAGGAGTTCGACTTGAGTTTCATGTGTCGATCCTAATCAACTCAGCGGAAGGCCGAGGATTTAGGACCGCCCATGCGAGACTCAAATGAGTGACTAGGTGGCTCGAATTTTCTAAATGGTGTGGGTCCGGTGCTAGTCCTCTAAAAGGGTAAAACAAAGAAAACATAAGATTAGACCCTAGACTCTAAGGAGAGAAGTAAAGACCTCACCTAAAATGAGGTCAACACACTTTTTCTCATCCTATCCCTTTCTACTGTTCAAGATTGAGAACTAATTTCCTCTTAAAACCAAAATTTGACCTCCCTTTCTTTCTCCCCTATCTCATAAGCCTTTTTGGTGGGTGCTCTCTCTCTCTCTCTCTCTCTCTCTCTCTCTCCACACCCCCCTTCCCCCTGCTATCCATCTCTCATGTAGGATAAGGAAGAATAACAATAGGTTGAGGGTAACATAAACATAAGTTGTTTAAAATTATGCGGAAAGGAGGTTTAGCACTTCTCCCAGCACAGTTGGAATGAATGGAGAATGAAGATTTATAAAGTTATCTATAAATATTCATGTAAGATTAACTCTGATGATGGTGATGAATTTTATTTTTATGAATTTCCGTCATTGTCTTGATTTACGGTTCTTCCTGAAATTTCATTATTTTATTGACCATTTTCTTTATTATTGGTTCAGATTGTATTGGTTCGGCTTTTAATGCTAAGGGAGCAATGCAATGCCCTAATTGCAGGAAAATTGAGAAAGGCCACTGGTTATATGCAAATGGAATTTGTCCGTCAACTGATTTCGATATTGATGGCTGGATCACTGAGAATTTTTATGATTTAGAACTGGTGAGTTCCATATTACAATGTTATTGATTTGAGATGGACTACAATTAGACAATTAGCAATCTTAAACTTCTAGGGAAATTTACATACGCAGCACACAATTCTTTTGTATTTACATCTCTCACCTATACTTTCATATCTACATCTCTTTGACGCGTTAAACCTATGCATGAAAAGGTATATTTCACATTTAAATAGTGTTAATAGCACTATTTTTGATGTGACATTAATGAGCTGATTGCTATGTGTTTAAATATGAAAGTTTAGGTATGAGATGTGTAAATACATAAGAATTGTGTGCTATGTATGTAAATGCCCCAAAATAGATGCTTTTATTTCTATATGGCATTATTTCTTCGTAACAATAACATTGTTGAAATCCTAAATGCCTTTAAAATCACCAGCGTGATCTTTGAATAAAAAAAAAGTTTAAAATTGATTTTGGTATAATTCTTTACATACACAAGAGGCATTTTTAGAACAATATGAATTTCTTATTTTTTTTTGTTTTGATGAAAAGTGAATTGTTTATTTTTTACACATATAACACCTAAACTTTACTTTTTATATTTATACCACCCAAACATTTCATATCACATAAAAAAAACCAATATCCAAACTTTTAAAATGTGAAATACACCTTTTCATGCATGGGTAAGGTGGCGTATATGGAAAAATTGAAGTTTAGGTGTTAGATATGCAAATACATAGGAATTAAGTGTTATGTATGTAAATATTCCTTTTCTTTCTTTATTATCCTGGAAATCTTTATCTTTAGTAGATAACCATCATTTACAATGTCGAGTGTATGCTCATCCTTAAATAATTTAGACATAATTCAAGGACAACTTCATAGCCTGTTGCACCGTTTCATTTTATGAATCCAGACACATTCTGGAGTTATTAAGCACATTTTGCACTCAGCTCCTCTAATTCAAACATATTCTAAACCAACCTTAATTTAATGGCTCTCTAATTACATCTTCACAGAGTTTCTACTATCACACATGGTCAATGAACTTGGTTGTTTGTCTAAACTTATGATTTGTCATTGAATTTTTGGATGTCTTAAATTTCAAATACTATTTATTTCTTATCTCGTGCATAAAATGATGACAAGTCAGAGATATTTTTTTCCTCTACTATTTAGTGATTTACATATGTTTTTAATCAATTAAGTTGGAACTATCCTTTTTTACAGCGATTATTGCATGTGCATGGGAACTAATTGTCAGTCAATGTATCGATCGGATCATGATTACATATAGTATCAATAAAAATAGGAAGATTTACATACATACCACCCAATTCCTATGTATTTACATAATGAACACCTAAACTTCAATTTTTACATAAATAGCTCCTTACCAATGCATTAAAAGGTGTATTTCACTTTTTAAAAATTAAAATGGTGGTGTTTTTGATATGATATGAAGCAAAGTTTGGGTGTCTGATATGTAAATACATAGGAAAAAAAACGCATCACTTTCATATATATCTTTGCTCCATCACACTGGCTATATTACCTTTTGGGAATATGAGAGTGAAAAATTGGAAACCATACTGTACTACTGTCTTATATAACTACTAATTATATGAATTGAATGTTACATTCTATAACTTCTAATTTTGTGAACTGAATATTACAAGAAATGTCAAGGCTTTGTATATTTTCCTTGTTTCTCTTAAAAAAATGAGCCTCTATCCTTTGATATGACCGGACAGTTTTAACAAAATTAAGTTCTTTAAATGCTACATACAAGTAATATTATACTTAGAAGCTTATTTTGGTGGGTATACTTGATTAATTATTAGTAAAATTTACGTACATACGGCACAATTCTTATGTATTTATATGTCTAACACCTAAAGTTTGATATTTACAATCACACCATACCATCTTGATGTCATGAACCTATGCACAATAAGATGAATTTAACTTTTAAGAACTTAGTAATTGTGGTATTTTTTTAGATGATGTTAATGAGTCTTATGCTTGTAAATATGAAAGTTTGGGTGTTAGATTTGTAAATATATAAGAATTAGGTGGCATGTATGTAAATGCCCCTAATGATTATTCAATATGTATACAAACAAATTCTGTTTTATATTGCGGTTTCATTACATGTTTATCATGAAGATTGCTGTATGCTTATTTTTTCTTGTCTGTTTAACTGAATTATAGTCTTTGGTGATATTTTGTTTCCAAGTACTCTTTACATTTTTGTAACATATCGAAGGGTTCATGAGTGATGCAATTCTAATGAAATTTTAAGATTATATTACTTTAGCATTTATTTATATTTCGCTTGAAATCTTAATGCTCTTCTTCTTTCTTATCTGGCTTCATAACATTAAACATGAATTCAAATTTTTGGTAGCATGGAGCTTTTGCAGTATGAATATTTTTGTTGTATATTGTTTAGTACTCACGTAATGTTGATTCTTTCCAAGGGGCACTTAATGCATACCACTAATTCCTATGTATTAACATATATACCACCCAAATCTTTCATATCACATAAAAAATAACGTTATTTCGAATTTAGAAAACTTAAATACACCTTTTCATGCACAGTTAAATGGTATATATGTAAAAATTGAAATAGGTATTGGATATGTAAATATATATAGGAATTGAGTGGTATGTATGTAAATTTTCCTGTTTACAATTGTTTATTGAAGATTTTGATGCTTCATGACGATAATTGTGTTATTTTCTGTTGCAGCCATTTGGTTTTCAGTGGTGCCCTTTCCGCGGGTTTACTCGACTAACAGCATTGTTAGAGTGAGTTCCTTTTGCCTCACTGCGTCGGAAATTACTATTACCGCACATTTTAGTCACAGATTGATTGTAATCAATTTTCTTGTTATTGCACAATGATTATGCGTGGTAATCTTGAATTCTACTTTTATGGAGGTATACAAAAAATAGGGCTATTTACATACATAGCACATAATTATTATGTATTTACATGTGTCACACAAGCTTTGATATTCACACACGTATCACTCAAATCTTTAATATCATGTAAAAAATAACACTATTATCTTTCCTAAAAAAATTATAATACACATTTCATTCATATATATATAGATGCATGCGCAAGTGCGAGTGTAAATACATGAGAATTGAGGAGCATTTACTTTTTACATTATACCACCCAAATTCTTTATATCACATAAAAAATACTTCAAATACACATTTTCATGCATAGTTAAGGTGGTATGTAGGTAAAAATTGATCATTAGGTGTTATATATGTACATACATGAGAATTGAGTGGTATGTATGTAAATCTTTTTAAAATTAATTGGGCGGACTAAAATATGGTAGATAAGTGTAAAAAACATAATGAATGGTTATGTAGGGAACAGTTTTGCTAGCTGATGGAATAGTGCAAATAACTTATATTGGATAAGTGTTAAAAATATAAATACTGGTTATGTAGGGAACTTAAATGAAATTAGATTGAAATGAAAGATACTTAAAAATAAATGTCTCTTGCTGTTCTGCCATGATAGTTTTCTCGGTGGCTTTAATATGCTTTTCAACTAATATTGTATTTTGAACAAATATTTGTGTTGTTTGGTACTAAAACTGATGATCCTTTACAGCATCAATATACCGAAGGAATATTTACATACATATCACTCAATTCCTATGTATTTGCATATCTAACCTCTAAACTTCAATTTTTACATAATATCAACTTCCCATGCATGAAAAGGTGTATTTTACTTTTGAAAGTTAAAATGGTGTTATTTTTAATGTGATATAAAAGATTTGGGTTATAAATGTAAAAAAAGCAAAGTTTAGGCGTTAGATATGTAAATATATCTCAGTGCGATTTTCCCCTGGTCAGGATAGGATGTCCACAAACTGTCATAGAAGGTTTAATGTTTTATTATTTTGCAATTAGTGCTTTATTTTCTGAATCAGGATCACATTGTTATTCCCACAATTTATGTATACCCATTTTATTTTTTGCAGTGATGGAGACTCCCAGCCAAATTCATGTAAATTCTTCATCTTTCTTACTAGCAAATTTGACATATATACCACACAGTTCTTATGTATTTACATTCCAACACCTTAAGTTTGATATTTACATTCATAACACTTTGACGTCATAAACCCATGCGTGAAAAAAGTGTATATCACTTTTAGTCACTTTTAAAAAGTTAGCGATAGTGATATGTTTTATGTGACGTAAAGGTTTGAGTGGCATGCATGTAAATATGAAAGTTTAGGTGTTAGATATGTAAAAAATGTGGTATGTACCAAAATGCCTCCTTTTGTATATCTCATTTTAATAATTTTGTTGTATTTTGCTTATATTCTCCGCTACAGATCATGAGGCATTGGGCAACGGTACATTCGGAGATCTCTCGAGTTCTTCTACGAGCACACATGCTTGTCCTTACTTAGCTCTGCATCATGCCATGAACATGGCTCATTCGAGCACGTCGATATCCGTTCCAGAGAATTCTCTGTTCCATCGGCATCCGACGAATATGGGAGCACAGCCCTCGGTCGAAATGCGAAATCCCCACAGTTTTTCCGCAACTGAGGTGCAAAACTCCAACTGGCCACAGCAGTCGGCCCCGCCATCTATTTCTTTGAATGGAAATTCTGATCATTCTGCATCTCTTTATGGTCTTAGTAGATTATCTAGGAATGATACAAGTAACCAGCCAAGGGTTGGATCTTTTGTGCAAGCACATCCACTTATACATGGGTGAGTTTCTTTTACCAAGATTTTCTTTTTTTTATATATTTTAGGGGCATTTACATACATACCATCCAATTTTCATGTATTAACACAACGTGAAAAGTGCTAAAATAGTCTCATGAGTCTTTTCATGGAACCATTTCAGTCATAGTCTCTAAATGTGTCATATTAGTTTCAAGGCCCTATTAATATAGGCTAAAATAGTATTCACGGAAAGTTATTTAAGCATCTATTAATAGGGTATAGGTACTAAATTGACATTTTTATGGACTCGGGACTAAAATGGATCCCTAAAGAAGAGTCGGATCATTTGACAGTGTGCCCAAGATTTTATTTTTTATAATAATACCACTCAGCTTTTACATAAAACAAAGCATCCACCATTTTTTTTATGCACAGCTAAGAAAGTTATAATTTTGATGTTAAATATGTAATACATAGGAATTGAGTGGTATCTATGTAAATCTTCCTTTGTTTTAAGCATCTTATTTTCTTCTTTATATGGAGTAAATATTGACATGGGTGAGTATTCCCTGCCCAATATTTAGAGGCATTTTCATTCATAGCACCCAATTTCTATTTATTTACATATCTAACACCTAAATTTTAGTTTTTCACATTCATACCACCCAATGCTTTTATATCACATAAAACATATCATTTTAGCTTTTAAAAAGTGAAGTGCACATTTTCATGCCTAGGTAAGGTAACGTGCATGTAAAAATTGTGGTTTAGGCGTTAATTATGTAATTACATACGAATTGCATGGCGTGTATGTAAATCTTCCTTTAGTTTAAGCATCTTATTTTCTTGTCTAAATATTGACATATTTTTTCTTTTCTATTTTAGAGGCATTTACACATACCGCACAATTTCTGTGTGTTTACATATCTAACTACTAAATTTTACTTTTTACATTAAATTGCACCCAAAGATTTGGGTTTGCTGTGTAAATTTGAAAGTTTAGGCGTGAGATATGCAGCACATACGAATTGTACTGATTTTATTAGCACTGAACCCTTTTAAACTTGTTTATGTACCAATTCTTCTTTGTAGATCACCTGATCCATCTATGCTTCTATATCTTTTCTACAGCTCCATGGGAGTTCGAAATGGAAATAATCCTCACCCTAGAAGCCACTCACAAGCTGTTTCTTCTTCGTCTAGCCGTGTCTCCACCTTTGCCCCTGCGAGGAGGCCGAGACCAAGAGGATTAGCTCTTATTTCATCCTCGTCGTCGACGGATATAGGGGCATTGTACGGGTTCTCCGTTTCCAACTCCGCAACGAGGAGCCACCAAGACTCAGATCGGCATTTCGATCGCTACTACGGGTGGGGTAGAGAAAGCTTTACGCCGCTGCCATGGATTCCACTTGAAGGCGAATCACAATGGTGGAGTCCCTTCAACCCTAACCACCCTCCACAAACTGGAAGTTTTGTTCGTAGAGGCGGCAGCTCGGGTGACAGAATTACACAAAATCATTCGGAAAATGGTTATCAGCGGATTCCGTTGCATCCGTGGATGCCGCCACCGCCCCCACCTCCCTATATGTGATGATTAGTTAGTTTAATGGAGGTTTGACATCTCTTCCTCTTCTTTGTGAATATATGGGACCGATGGATGGACTTTTGCGTGCGGATTTTTGAGAAAATTTCGTTTATCTTTCAATGAGCGGCGATCGAATCTATCAAATTCGAAGTCTTTCCGATGTGATGTGATCAAATTTGATTTCGTATCGCGAGCTCTTTGAGCTATGTTTTTTTCTTTTCTTTTTGTTCTTGCTGGTTCTGAAGAACAGAGAGCTGGGTTGTGAGGGCTTTGCCTGCTATTTATTTAGTTGGTTGACAGGGGAACTGAATGCTTATTTTATGATCTGCCTGTTCCATGTATAAATTGGAATTAAATTTAAATTTTGATGTGTTTTCTCAGTTTTTTGCAGCCGTTATGCATGCTATTACATGATAGTTATATAGACTTGTAGAATTAAATTTAAAGTTTGATGGCCTTTTATGCCCTTTGATTCTTGTAGGTCGTAACTGTTTGCATTTCAGTTACAAACAAGAAGTAATAGCGACATTTTTTGATGTTATATGAAGATTGTGCTAAAAATATAAGAATTAAGTTTTAGGACTACACATGTAAGTACATCAGAATTGTGTGGTATGTATGTAAATGCCCCTAAATCTTATGTAATGAGAGTATTCCAATTTTAGGTATGGCAAGAAACTTGTTTTTGGTGTACTACGAGAGCTGATTATATGTTATAATGTAAACTGTTCTTTTCATTTAAGATTGAAATCCAGTTTATTATAGCTCTAATGAATTTAGATCGACTTCTAATTCCGAGGGCGAGCCAAATATGGTATTTATAATTTATATATATATATATATTTTTTTATTTAACTATCTGCATTTCTTACGTTTTAATTGAAATAAAAATCGTTGGAAAAAATAAGAAAATAAAAAGTTTATTTTATTCATCATGCAGAAAGGGTTTAGTTTCTATTATAAAATGTTAGCTATATGGTAATTAATATTTTTTTATTGATATCATCAAATATAATTGATATTATCAAATTCAATATAAAATCTAATTAGGGTAAAGGTCCTTAAAAAACAGAACCAATGAAATAAATTAAAATGGGAAAAAAAAAAGCTTAAAATAGTAACTAAAAAAGTGGTTACATATACACCACCCAATTCATATGTATTTACATATCTAAAATTTAAACTCCAGTATTTACATTTATACCACAAATCTTTCTTATAATATAACGAAAAAAAAATCACCATTTTATCTTCTAAAAATTAAAATACGCCTTTTCATGTACGCCGACCTATATATAAAAATTAATACATAAATATAAAAAATGTAAATATATGAGAATTACGTGATATGTATGTAAATCTTAAATAAAAAAAAAAAAAAACTTGGAAATCACAGTGATTGGAATGACTATGAAATTTAAAAAGACAAAATAATCACCAATTTCTCAAATTAAAAATAAACTAAATTACTTGTACAAGGTTTCTAGCAATAGAAAACCAAGAAAGTTGGAACACAGTCAAATTTTACTAACTTACAACACTTCCTTTTAGAGTAGAAAGGATAAATAAAATTTCTAACCTCAATGGCACAGCGAAGCACAAATCGCTGCATAATTAGACAGCCAAGGCCAGGGCACTCTCTTCAGTCCTGCAAGGCATGTAATTCTGGTTTTAGTAAACTGCAGCCCGCACACAGCTGTTTGTGAATTGAGAAATTATAAAAAAAAAAATGTTTACTTAAACTAGTTTAATTAGCAAGAGTAATTAGTTCCTAATAGTCTTATAAGTATTCAAATATATGCATTTATAGAGTCTTAAGAAGTTTCTCTTGTATGCACCCATATATATTTTTATCTGGGCATTTACATGCATACCACAAAATTACTATGTATTACACATCTGCCAATAACAAATTGATATTTACAATCACATCAAAACAAATGCATGGAAATGCTTATTTCACTTTAAAAAAAAAGTTGGTATTAATAGTATTTTCCAAATGATAAAAAATCGATTGTCATATATGTAATCATTAAAGGCTTTTAAGTGTTTGATATACAAATACATCAAGAATTTCATCGTATATATATTTTTATTTCGGGTTAGCAAATAAACTACAATATAAAAATAAAAGGAAGATTTGCATACATACCACTCCATTCATGTATTTACATATCTACATCTAAATTCCAATTTTTAAATATGTGCCACCTCAACCATGCATGAAAAGGTGTAATTCCCTTTATAAAAGTCAAAATAGTGATATTTTTTATGTGAGGAAAAATTTGGATGGCACTAATGTACAAAGTAATAATTTGGTGTTATAAATACATAGGAATTAAGTGGTATACATGTAAATGCCACGAAAGTCCCCAAATGTAAACATAAACTCAAGCTATAAAGGAAATAAATATTAAATTTAAAGTAGAATTTAACCTGATCAATGGTGGTGGAATTGTTATTCTCTTCTGTGATTGAAGCATCAATGGTCCCGTCCTCAATATCAGTCTCCATTTTGTCAACTTCGTTTTCACCTCTTCCTGGAATCTGAAATTCTGCAGGAATTTGCCCAGATCTCAAAGCCTGTAATGGCAATCAAAATAAGCTGCGTTATAAATATATAAAAAAGCAGGGATTAAAATGAAAAGAAAAAAATATAATAAAGAAATGTTTTGATTTGCTGGAGGTACCTGCTCCAGCCTTGCAACTTCTTCAAGTGTTTGAGAATTTACAATTGCAGCCTGCACATATAATGAGGAAATATCAATTTTAGCAGTACAACAACAACAAAGCCTTAATCCCACTACGTGGGGGGGTTGGACTACGTGGGGTTGGCTACATGAATCCTTTTCTCCATTGCATCCTATTTAGTGTCATATTTTCAATTATAGCAGTAGTAGCAGAAAATATAGCCAGAAATTATACCTTCAAGTCAGGTTTATGAAGGCACAAGGGAAAAAAAAAAGAAAAAAATTATGAATCATAGATTCTCTTATATGGAATGGAATTATTGAAGACCCGCACTTAGAGGGAGAAAAGGCACATCAAATCAGATACAAAAGGATAAATATAAATTTACATGCATACAACACAATTCTTATGTATTTACATGTTTAAAACCCAGAGTTCGATATTTACACTTACAACATTTTGGTGTCATAAATCTATATGCATGAAAAGGTGTGTTTCACTTTTAAAGAGATAGTGATCGTCATATTAAAGATTCGAGTGGTATGCATGCAAATATTAATGTTTAGGTGTTAGACATGTGAACACACAAGATTGTGCGGTCTGCATGTAAATGCCCCAAAATAGAAAGATTTGCATGCATATCACTTAACTTGTAAGTATTTATATATCTAACCCCTAAACTTGAATTTATACAAAAATACCGCATTATCCATGCATGAAAAGATGTATTTCACATTTTAAAAATGGTGGTATTTTTTGTGAGATATAGATGGTACAAATGTAAAAAGTAAAATTTAGGTGTTCCATATGTAAAAACATAGGAATTAGGTGTTCCGTATGTAAATGCACCCCAAAAAATATCAATTATCTAAGTAATATGCGAGAATCATACACGAGTTTATGAATTCAGCTAACAAAATTTTGAGCGAGTTGCGGCAAGATGACTAGGTCAAATAAAGCAAGTAAATATGGCAGAAATAAAACTTCAAGCCAGCACTAAAGCCAAAAGGTTCTAAACAACATTAAAAATACATAATAAATCCTGGAGCAGATATGCAGAATGAATAAATTATCTCTTACATAATACAGTTTTGGCACAATTTTTGCAGTTGAATGTAAAATAAAAAAAGGAGCATTTACATGCACCCCACCCCATTTCTATGTGTCTAGAGTTTATACATGTAACACCTAAACTTTGCTTTTTTACTTTTACACCACCCAAATCTTTCACATGAGATCAAAAACATAACTAGTTCAACTTTAAAAAAGTGAGATAATCCTTTTCATGCATAGATAAAGTGTCATTTATGTAAAAAATAAAATTTACGTGCTAGATATGTAAATGCATAAGAATTGAGAGATATGTATGTAAAGCTTCCCAAAAAAAAAAAAAAAAAAAAAAAAAAAAAAAAAAAAAAAAAAAAAAAAAAAAAAACAGAAGTTAGTCTTCTATTGTAAAATAATTTTTCACGAGCTAAGAAACTTAAATATGGTTCTACTGGTTCTAAATGAGCTAAAACCCAACAAGAATGCCATAGTAATTATGCGATTGATGTAGGGCTAATTTGGTGAATCAAAAAAACGAAATAAAAGAGAACCCTAACCGCTAAAACTACATGTGGTGATTTCCAGCTAATAGAGGATTTGACATTTAAGGTTCATCTCATTAGTATTGGTATATAAGTTTTATATTCAGCTTTAGAGGATTTATATAATACGCTTATAGAAAATGAGAAAAATAAAATAGTTACGGTAGGTGATAAAAGATCAAGATGCATGAATCCGGTTAAATGCATTATAAATGAAGAATAATAAGATGTAAAATAATGTGAAATTAAGTTGCCAAGAGAGGTAGATTGACACTCTGTAGTTGAACCAAACCTGATCAAACCTAATGTCAAATGAGACGAGCAATTTGAGGCAGCAAAAACAACAAGCCTATATCCCCCTAAGTGGGGTTGGCAATGACGGGCATTCCGAGAATTTTAGTAAAAATTTTGCAACAAATATTCAAGTAAAAACTACAAATTTAATGAATTATATACTAAGTTTAGTATTGAGGAAGAGGATGAGATCTATAAAATAGTGAAGGCAAGAGAAAATAGCCTTGGATTTTGATGAAGGTAGATGTATTAAAAGTGAAGATAATAAAATACTGGTTAAGGATGAAGACATCAGAAAAAAATAACAAGTTATAAATTTGAGAAATCATCAAATGGGATATTTAATGAAAGAAATTATTTTGAAAGACGACAATGAACAAACAGGAACAATATAATGAGTTATATTATAGATTATTCCAAAAAAATTAAGTGGACTTAATTCTCAAAAAGATGTACAAAAGAAAATGTTTATGATCACCCAAAATTTTTTAATTATCGTAAGTCTACATCAAGAGTCAAATACTGGGTTGGGTGTGTGTGTGAAATTATTTTGGAAGAGGACAATGAACAAACAAGAACAATACTATGAGTTATATTATAGATTAATCCAAAAAAATACTGTAAAGTTAATTCTTAAAAATATGCATAAAAGATAATGTTTATGATTACCCAAAAAGCTTTTAATTATCGTAAATTTACATCAAGATTCAACATTAGGTTGATAATTTTAATATGAATGCGATGGTGACATTTTAATAGGCGATACATCTGCTGAAAAAAATTTAAATTATTAGAACAATGAATTAAATTTTTAGAAGGCACAACCCTTAAAATTAGTATAAAGAATGTTTAGTATATAAAATATAATTTTAGTACACATGATACTAACAATCACCATACAATATTATTAAAAGATAAATGATGCTAATGTTTGGTAGGTTTAAGTTTATTTGACCTGCTATAAGAAATAAAGATATAAATGAGAATATAACTTCAAGAGTCAAGGTTGGATAGGTAAATTGAAGAAAGTCCTCGATAATTTTATGTGATAAGAGAAAATCATGAAGATTGAAAGTAAACTTTATAAAACTATAATTAAGTTAATGATATTGTATTGATATATAAATTAAGTTATTAAAAAGTCATTGATATCTAATTTAAGTGCAATAAAATTGAAAAATGTTCAGATAAAAGTATGACAAAACTGAAGAAGTAACCTAAAGAATTATTACAATGAAATAAAAAAATTGGAGAGACATCTAATGAAAATAAGGTGGCCGAAACAAACTTAAGTGACTTAGAAATACACAATAAATGATAGAATTAGTGTTAGTTTAGGAAGAAAAAGAAGACTATCTAAAGTTATATGAGTACAAGTTCTTCAAAATAATTTATGAAGCATAGATTTAACACCGAAAATGTCACCCTTTTGGAGCAAATAAAAATCATAAATTCATAGTTGGAATAAGGCTAATGATGAGGTGATTACATATTTTAATGATGGAGACATTTATGAAAGCTGAAAATATTATTTTAGAAAATAATTAAAAACACAATTTGGGCAGCTGTCTCGTATTTGCTTTTAGACAACCATAATTCTTTTTCCCCACAACTTTCATGTTGCCTTTCATAAATTTATGTGATTGAAATAACTTGTTATAATCAAATTTATTATTGTGTGATAATTATAAGAAAATTATCCATTTTTCTTAAAGGAAAAAAGTTTTTAATACTCAAGAACATTTTCCAAAAATCTACTTTCCACGAAATAAGTCTAAAAAATCTTCTATAAAATAACACAATTACACGATTCCTAAATCTGAGTAACAAGGGCAGTTTTATATGATTTGTGATTCTAGTGGGCGAGATAATAATAACTATCAATCCATATAGCCAACAGATCAAATTATACTGTGTAATAGGTTTAAGTATCTTGAATCTATTATACAGAAAAATTAAATATAAACAAATTATAAGATCTATAGTTAAGAATATGTGACTAAAAATGCAAAAATGTCCTCCAAGAGAACGTCACAGAGATTTACATTCAAATTTTATAAAATTATAATTACGGTGGCACTTTATATGAATCCAAGTGTTTGGTAAACAAAAAGTCATTAATAGTTAAATTGAGCATGTTGAAAATGAGACTAAATGAATATGTATAGAAATCAAGAATGATAAATCGGAAAAGTAATCAATGGAATGCTCCTAAATCTCCCATTATTTTATTAAAGGAAGAATGGAGTGAAAGATTGTAGATAAGAGAATTAAAATATGATTTGGATGTCTACAACAAAGAGTAGAAGGGTAAATAGAATTAGTATAAATGAAAAGAGACAAGCCAAAGTTAACATAGTTAGTAGTTGTTCAAAATGATTTGTAAAGAATAACTTGCACCTTCAATAGCACTAAAAAAGAATAAATGAAAATTGAAACTTTATAAAACTGACACACTAAAGATTTAACATTTCAATTACATTCAACCTCCATAACATTTTGGTTAGAAGAACCAAGATGATACATAAATAAAATAGGTTTCTAAAGAAAACAAATAAAATATAATTTAATGTAAATATTAAATATACAAAAATTAGCTAAAGTTGAGATGATAGATATTAGATTATAACGGCTATCCCTATGCCGTTATTACTTATTATTTGATTTTATTCACAGATTATATTTTTCCTCTTTTATTTTATTCTATTTTATTTTCTTTTTATATTATTTTATTATGTTTTTATTGCTTTCCATTATTATACCTATTGTAATTGGGTTTAAATACCACTCCTATCAATAAAATTGTGTTGGTCTATTCCAAATCTCAACGTGTTATTAGAGCCTAGCCCTAGATCCAACAGTCTCTAGCCTCCTCAACCAGTTTCAGCAGTCGCCGCCTCCACATCCTAGCCGACAACCTCCTTGTCGAGTCCAGCGAACAAGCAGGAATTCCAGGAGTCGTCTTCCTGTTTGCTCTTGTTTCTCTAGGAACAGAAGGAATTACAGAAGTTTGCGTTCAAAGAAAGACAACGGGTTTCTGCGAATAACAGGCTTCTTCCTGTCTGCAATTGTTCACTCTTCCTACAGATTTCAGCAGCTACCAGAGTAATTCCTGCAGGTTATATTGAGGTCTAGATATAATTTAGAAGCAATAAAGCCGAGCATCACTGCATGAACAACAAATTACGAGCCTCATAACTTGCAGTGGATATCATGGACAATCCACCAACAGCTATAGGCTTTCCCTGCGAAGATGGATTCTTCAACGTCTCCACAGCAACATAAAAGGCATCCATATCACTTTTTCGCCTGCCACCCAGATTTTTTGTAGATTTCCTACAGATTACCTGGTATCCAGCAGTCCGGCTCCCATCTTTCCTGCAGTCTGATTACCATCTTTCCTGCTGCTTTCTTGCAACCTCCCTACAGCCTTCAGCGTTCCGGCATCTTTCCTACAACATTCTTGAAGCTTTCCTCCAGTTATCCGTCAGCCAGTGACTTACAAATCCATCTATGTCTCGGACTCTCAACCACACTCAGGACAAGTGTTGGAAACTTTATGGTAAACCAGCATACAAATCTTCGACCAAATCCTCTGCTACCAAGGGCATCACGGCAACATCCGAATCTACCACGGTTCAACTAACTCCTACCTGGAACATCCCGGAATCCTCTTAATCCCTAAAAAAACAGATGGAGCAATTGATCAAGTTACTTGGAGTCCATCAAGTCTTTACGAGTTCGTCGACCCCCCACATTCAACAAGCTACTCTTCCAATGGCTTCCATGGTTTATTCTGCCTCTAATCCATGGATTATTGATTCAGGTGTCACGGATCACATGACTGTGATGCTCACACGTTTTCTCGACTTACTATTTGTGCTCGGGGAAGGATACCGTCATAATTGTCGATGACTCCTATAATTTCATCGATTGTTCGATCTAATTTTGGAGACTGTTTTACATGTTTCACAGTTGCAATGTAATCGGTTATCTATTAGTAAGTTGACGAATGATATTAATTGTGTAACTAATTTCTCTTATGATTGTTGAGTTTTTCAGGATCGTCGTTCGGGGAGGATGAATGATACTGCTAAGAGTGTAGTCAGACTACTACTTCCAAGAGAAGAGCATGGAGAGTGAGGACACACCTCTCAAGAGTTATAGCATATCTCGAGTCATTGAATGTCTCATTATGTTGTTGTGTTGTTGTTTATGTCATCATAGTTTCCAATATTTAAAAAATTTATACCCTTGAATGTTTTCTAATAAATACTTTTCTAATTTTATTTGTGAGACATGTCAATTAACCAAACATGATCGAGTTCATCACCCACCCCACACTTAAACACCTTCCACTCATTTCTCTCTCATTAACAAAGACATTTGGGGACCATCTCGCACTCTCAGCTGCATCAATAAGTGGTGGTTCCTGACTATGATTGATGATCACACTCGAATGAAATGAGTTTATATTTTAAAAAACAAATTAGATGTTGTTGCACCTTCCAAAACTTTTAAACTTTCATTTTAATTCAATTTAAAACTCCTATTCAGGTCCTTCAGACCAACAATGGTAGTGAGTTTTTCAACTCTATTTTAGGTAATTTTTTTGTGAGCAAGAGCATCCTCCATCATAAGTCTTGTACGGACTCTCCTTAATAAAATGGGGTAGTCGAGAGGAAAAATGTTTCAATCAAATGTCCCAAAACGGTTTTGAAACGATGTCATTCTCACTGCCACCTATCTCATAGATAGAATCCCTTCTAAAATTCACAAGTTTCGAACCCCTCTGACAGTCCTGATGTCTTGCTTCCCAATCAATCGGGTCTTCTCCGCCTTAAACCTCAAGAATTTTGGGTGCACTACTTTTGTTCGGAACATTGCCCCCAGTCCGGGTAAACTTGATCCCAGATCCATAAAATGTACCTTCCTTGGATACTCCACTTAAAAAGGATATCGGTGCCTTGATTCTACCACTAACAAAATTTATGTGAGTGATAATGTCTCTTTCTTTGAAAGAGTTCTCTATTTTCCTAGCTCAACCTCAAGTAAAAGGCAGCTTGAGTTCATAGACATTGTCTCTTATCCTACTCCTATGAATGTTCCCTCCATTGCTCCTGCCACTAAGGAGTCCCCTGTTTCGATGAGTACATCATCCGGTAAGTCCCCTATTCAGTGAGTGCACAATCTCCTCCTCCCACTATCCAGGTCTACACACAGCGCACTCATTCCAATGCTCCTACTCTAGAGCCAGCTTCCTCCTTACAATACCCTGATTCCACTTTGGGAGACATCCTCAGCACGACCACTTCTTCGAATGAGGTGAGTTCTCCGAGTAAGGTATGCAATCAGACATGCTCACTCTATTCTACAGCAAAATACATCTCTTTCCGCAATTATCACCGACCTACAGAGCATTTGCTACTGCCCTGGCGAACCACCAGATCTTAGCTACTATTGAGGTTACTCTTGTTGATCTAGCTTGAAAAACAACAGTAATTGAGGATATGAATGACTTTCAGCGGAACCATACATGAGACGTCATTGATCTTCCTCGGGGTAAGAAAACTGTGGGATGCGATGGATTTTCAACACCAAGTTTGGCTCTAATGGATCATTTGAACGCAAAAAGGCATGATTGGTCACAAAAAAGATACTCAAAGACCTACGGAGTTGATTATGATGAGAAATTTGCTCTAGTAGCTAAGTTAAACACTATTTGAGTCCTGTTGTCCCTTACGGTGAATCTGTATTGACCTTTATTCCAGCTAGATATCAAGAATGTATTCTTAAATGGATAGCTTATAGAAAAGGTATATATGTCTCTCCTTCTTGGCTTTGACTCTACTGTCTCTAGAGGGCAAGTGTGTAGGTTGCGAAAATTCCTCTATGGGCTAAAGCAGTCCCAAAGAGCCTGGTTCGACAAATCCAAAAAGGTGGTTGTGGGTCATGATTTTACTCAGGCTCAATCAGATCACTTTCTTTTTCGGCATTCTTCCAATAGCCAGACAACTATCTTTATTGTTTATGTTGACGATATTGTTCTTACAAATAACGATCTCCCAGCATTGGAGTCCTTGAAAGAAATTCTTGTTAATTCCTCAGATACTTCGTAGGCATAGAAATAGCTCAATCATCTCGGGGTATTTGTCTATCTCGTCACAAATATGTAATTGATCTCTTGACAGAGCACAAACTTCTTTTGTACAAACGCGTTGTTGTCCCTATGGATCCAAATATAAAATTATCTGACATTCACAATATTGTGTCTGTCAACAAGACTCGTTGCCAGTATCTTGTGAAAAACTCATCTACATCACAAATACTCACCTCGACATATGTCACGCAGTTTGAATAGTGAGTCAATTCATGCATGACCCCTATGAGCACCATCTCTAAGCTATCTATTGAATTCCCCATTATTTAAAAGATACACCGAACTCGGGTTTGTTTTTCTCCCGTCACATCTCTCAATCTATTGCGGTGTATACAAAAGCTGATTGGGTCGGATTAGTTCATGATCGACGTTCCACATCGGGATATTGCCCATTTGTATGGGGCAATCTTGTCACTTGGAAAAGCAAGAAACTGTCTACGGTTGCCCGAAACAGTGCTGAAACTGAATTCTGATTTATGACCTTAAAAAGTTGTGAAGCTCTCTGGCTAAGCACCATGTTTCGTTAACTCTATATGTCAATCCCCATCCCACTGCATCTATTATGTGATAATAAGACTACAATCAACACTGCTCACAATCCAGTCTGACATAATCGTACTAAACATGTGAAGATCGACAGACACTTTATTAAAGAAAAGATTTGAGTCCAGGAAGAATTGCATTCCATATATGTCATCTAGCGATCAACTAGCGGACAACCTCACCAAGAATCTGTCTCGCCCTTTATTCGATGACTTCAAGTCCAAGTTGAATATGACTGACATTTATGTTTTAACTTGAGGGGGAGTATTAGACTATAATGGCTATCCCTCCATAGTTATTACTTATTATTTGATTTTATTCACTGGTTATATTTTTTTCACTTTTGATTTCTTCTGTTTTATTTTCTTTCCTTATTATTTTATTCTATTTGTATTGTTTTCCATTATTATGTATCTTATAATTGGGTTTAAATATCACTCCCATCAATAAAATTGTGTTGGTCTGTTTCAAATCTCAACAATAGAGATGAACCTATAAATACTTGCAACAGTTATTCTAGCTAGCACAGGGGGAATATACGGAATTAAATAGCCCGTTCACAGCATAATTTAACATAGATTGTAATGCAAAATAACCAAACAGGGAAAATATATCAATTTAATATTCATCTAATCAACAAAAATAAGAGCATGAACAATGCATGAAGCTTCCAATGATATATGAGAATGAGTTGATGCATAATTTTACTCCTAAATTATATAGAGGTTGTTTCAGTTATTTGAATCCTTGAATTCTACGTCACGTTGGAGGCAAACCATTTCACTTGGTCAAACCTCTATCTCGTTAGTATAATCACCCCATAGGTGAATTAAATCTTTAATGATATGGTATTGACCGCTGCAAGTTGAGTGATTAATGACTCAATAAGCATGAATTTACTACTAAAAAGAATAAAAATCATGGTTAGCATATGATTCAAACTCAATCATGTTTTATACATGAATAGATTCGTAAGTGGACACTAGAATACAACCCATTGCAGTAAAGAATAAAGATAAACAGTTTGGCTTCGTAGGATTGAGATAAAATAAATATCTCCGAATCACACACTCGCAACATAATTCAGATGTAAGAAACAAAAAGGTTCAACAACATGAAATGCACTCCACGGATTTAAAAGATCCATCTAAAGGATTTTGTTAAACCTTCAACAATGCAAAGAAGTATGATTCCAGATAGAATTTTTATTCTGAAAGTTACCTTAATGGCTATAATTTGCTCTGGTGTAGGGGCAACAACTTTAGGAATTTGTTCTTCCTTCAAGGAATCAGTAGCATTTGTAGCCTCGCCAGGAGTAAATGTCTTAGCAGGTATCTTTTTGGCCTCCTCTTCTGCTTCCTTTGAAGCATAAAGCCCTTCAGCTTCAATCCTCTCCTATCATCAAAGAAATCAACAGAATCAATGTCAGATAGCTCATCAAGAGAATGTAAAGATAAAAATAAAAGGGGCATTTACATACATACCAACCAATTCTTATATAATTACATATTTAGCACCTAAAATTTAATTTTTACAGTTAGACCATCCAAATCTTTCATATCACATAAAAAAATATCATTATTCTAAATTCTAAAAAGTGAAATACATCTTATGGTGGCATTTATGTAAATAATGAAGTTTAGGTGTTAGAAATGCAAATACATAGGAATTAAGTGGCATGTATGTAAAGCTTCCAAATAAAAGCTGTCATTTTATAAAGCTCAAAAATAGAGTTTTTAATTTTTGGGCTAGGGCATACTCAATTTAGGAGAGGATCAACAATTTACTAAACAAAAGAAAATGCTATTGCTTGTAACAAAAGTGTCTAAGGATCGTTGAAAAAACTTACTGCAAAGTTAAAGCAGAATTAAGGAAAATGAATGAAGATCAAAATGGTTATGAATTTGAGGTTGATATTTACGATGATAGTCAAGAGATTTTTTGGAGCACCAAGAAGATCTCAATTCAGGAAGGTGGTACTATAAGGTGAGCAGCGTAGAATCGATTTGCAGGAGAAAAGAAAAGCCTCTACAGAGATAAAGAGTTCAAAGGGAGCCTAAAGAACTCTTCTCAACCTTATATAATGGCTTCTTCGTCCAGTAAAGATACATGGTGTAATACAAATTTAAAAAATATGAGTTCATGATACATGTCTTGCCCTCAATACTCAACTCTCTTATGCATATGATTTTCCTTTAAGAAAGCTGCATATGTCAAGGATACAAGCCCTCAATTTTTCATGTTTTCAGAATTGCATTATTTTAAAATAAGAAGATTTCTTTACAAATCACTCAATTCTTATGTAGTTACATATCTAACACGGAAATTTCAATTTGCATATACATACCCCCTTACCAGTGCATGAAATGTGTATTTCACTTTTTAAAAGTTAATTGGTAATATTTTTTATGTGATATGAAAGAGTTGGGTAGTATAAATGTAAAATATAGAGTAATAGGTGTCAGATATGTAAATATATCGGAATTAGGTGGTATGTATGGAAATGTCCTTTTAAAATATTAGGAAGTATGCACGTTTGCTTGTTGATTCTATTCAAAGAAGAGGGACTAAGTCACTAAAATTGTCTGTACTTGTAAAAAACCAAACAATCATTTAGCAAGTGGCATTTTTAAGATGAGTAACTTCTAAATTAAAAAATTGTTGATAGATGATCTAAGATTTAAGCAAGCCATCAAGATTAAATTGGTTAAAAAAAGACACCTTGCTTGGAATAAAAAAAAACTAATATTGAATTATACAATCCCAAGGAAACAAATTACATGGTCTGAGGAATTTGCATTGAAACAACTTTCGATAAAAACAAAAGTTATGCAATATGTTAATACTTTGTATTATTTGTTGTCAGGTAAAGCGGGGGAAATTTGGATTTACACCGCCACATTCCATCTCCTATAGACTTACCGAGTGTGCTTATTATTTTATTATGTTAGGTTGTTTGTGATTGCATGGTTGATTAACCATAACCAGAGTTCAACGTCAACGATTGTAGCTCCTCTTAGTATACAGCATTAAAAAATTGAAAGAAACAGAATGCACAGAAACTTTTTTATTACTTTAATTCTGTTACCATAAAATAAGGGCTGGTAATGTAAGTGCTATGAAGAAATCCATAGGCATTAGGCTATTGTATAAAATACCATAGTGCAAAAAATGACTTACTTAAGGTGCTATCACAAAAAAATCAGTTTGGTGCTTAAGAGTAAACTATCAGAAATCAAGCGGTGCATGGAAAATGCCCTGGTGGTGAAACTGATGCTACACAGAAATATACCTTTTGTTTAACTTTCCTGAAATCTAGCAACCTTAGCTTCTTCAGCTTGAAGATCACATAAAGGCGGTAATTTGGTTTCTTTGTGATGTTATTGTCCAGTAAACTAAGAGTTTGCAACTTTGGAAGGGATGCTAGGGGATCGATCTCCACCAGATTTACAAGCCGGTTATTTGTAAGAATCAAAGTGTGTAACTTTGGCAAGAATTCTGTAAATAGAAGAAATATCAATATAAGCAAAGACAATCTTAGAAGCATTAAATCTATGCACAAAAATCTAGAAAAATTTACCAAATATCTTACCTCCAATTTCAGGATTAATACGAGTGATTCTGTTATTATTAATTAGCAAAGTGCTGAGCCGATTTAAATAAGGGAAGTTTTCAAGCTTAACAATCTCATTATCAGAGAGATCTAATGTGTCAAATTGATCCTGCAAAGGAGTAAAAGAAGGATAAATGAAATAAACTTAGTATCAGAAGATGGTTCTACAATTTTCAAAGCATCTTCAGAGAGCTTGTTGAGAAGGCAAGCAGAAGACTGTCGTATTGCTTGGTGTGGTAATAAGGGGGGTGTGAAACAATTTAAAAAATAAATATGAAATATAAAACCAAAATAACAGCCGCTTAAGTCGCTTGAAAAAATCAATCTAATGAACATTGAAGATCATATAAAACATTAAAAGAAAGGAGGATTGACATACATACCACTCAATTCCTATGCATTTACATAAATAACACCATAACTTCAATTTATACATGTGTGCCACTTTACCTATGCATGAAAAGGTGTATTTTATTTTTCAAAGATAAATGGTGGTATTTTCAATTGATATGAAACATTTGCGTGGTATAAATGTAAAAATAAAGATTAGGTGCTAGATATCAAAATACATATGAATTGGGTGGTATGTATGTAAATGTCCTAAAAGAAAATTATTTTCTATGGTGCAACCAGAATCTAAATTATATATTAAAACAACATTTTTGACAATGTGAAATCTACAATAATACAATCATAAATCAGCCATGCATTCAAGCAAAAGCATACTTCACCTCCATAATTAGCCTTATCCCAATGATATGGGGTTGGATTAATGAATTTGACTTCTCCATTCACTCTTGTTGATCTAGGAGACTCTTCATACATTGTATTGGGATAAACCTAGTCCAAGATACTTGGTTGATCAGACGTTGGTTTATCACATTTTGGGATAATCTAAAATCATATCAGGTTAAAAGACATCGAAACAAGAAAACTTCGTAATCAATGCAAAACCCAAGGCATCAAAATGGAGCCATTATTTGCTAAATTATAATTTTATTATTAAAACAATAAAAAAAACAATGCAGATCCAAAGAAGAGTAGAACAGAAAAAATCATTATCCCTCCTTAACCACTCCCTTAATCCCCGCCTCAATCAGCATCTTGATCATCAAGAAACGATATTTTTATTATTTTTTTAATTTACATAAATCCTTGATTTAAGTAAAATAGCTAAGACTCCTATAATTTATAAATAGGCCATTATAATGTATTTTAAAATTTGAATTTTCTCTCTACCTTCCGCAGCACTCATTCACAAGTTTGAATACATAACAATGCTAATGGCATAAAATCTAGGAAAAAATCAAATTCTCCTGTTCTCTCTCATCATATATTCTCTCCTATGCCATTTATCTCTTTATCTGACTGCATTCTCTGACTCAAACAGTAGAAAATTCTCTCTCATGCAAGCTAATTGAGAGACTAAAGAATAAAATAAAAGAGATGAGAGAGAACAGAATAGAAAAGAGAAGAAAAGATTTGATCAAATGAGGGAAACCAAGAGTATAACAAAAGCCAAGCAAAGTAAGGAATTTATAATCTGCAATGCAAATGTGGATTCAATATTATCTTCGCGGAAGTAAGTTGTTATGCCGGTGCATAGCTTAAAGACAATTTTGTCTTTTCTTGTTTATTATTCTTTAGTATAAATAGATCATAATAGGCTTAAAGTTAGGGTATGCACAAGTTATTTCCCTATGAATCTAAGGGTTAAGGTTTGTGAGAGATTTCCTACTTCTCGAATTGTAAGAATTGGGAGAAATCGCCTATCTCTCAAATTGTAGGTGTTTATCTTTGTATTTTTAGTGCATGTTTGATACTTTTCCAATAAAATGTATTTGCCCTAAATTCTGTGGGAAAACCTATCTCAAAATGTATCAATTGGCATCAAAGCTTTCGATACAGAAAGAAGGAATCACCGCCTTAAAGTGTTTCGGTCGCATTGGGATCGTAGACTTACAACCTCCCTCAAGTCGCTAAACAGTCGGAAGGTGACGAAATCTAATAAATCTAGCTTGGAAGTAGTCGATTGCTTGATTGCTAGTCGAGGAAGTCGTCAATTGCTAGCTGGGAATCGCCAATCTCGATAGTGTCAAGATAAGAGACGCACGACTTTGTGACCTATTTCGCGGCAAACAGAGACACAAAACTTCCTTCTTTGGCAGCATACTAAGACCCAAAACTTCCATTTTTCTCGTATTCCAGCATCGTCTTGGCGATAACTAGAGCTAGCTAAGATGGCCACGTGAGAATTGTGGCATACAAAGACCCAAAACGACGATCTTCCTCCTTTTGCTCAATCCTCACGATGTAGTAGTGGGATCGCGGTGTCCAATCGTAATCCAAGATCACAAAAGTCAGCAACCAAATCAGGCGTAGCCAAATGACGAAACCTCTCATGATCTGGGAAGCCGACAACGGAATTGCAGCACTCATGTCGGGGTTCAAGCTAGCTGGGAAGCCAACCACAAGATCGCAAGTTTTGAAACCGTACAAGGAGCGATGGCAATGAAAAAAGTAGACGCTTTGAAGGTGAAACCAAAGAAGGACATAAGCCATATCAGATCGAAAATAAAAGAATGTTTTTCTATAATGGATAAGTGTCCATGGAGGGGCAGTTCGAGTGGAGATTCACGGCCCTCGAAAAAAAGATCAAGAAAAGCATTGTGTTTCATACATTAAATGCCTCCGCCCGCAACGGGATCGAGCGACGACATCGAGATTGGACACAAGCAACAACAACCAAAAAGACCAAATTCGAACTTGAACAAAAGGAAGCAAACAAAATTGAAGACAATGATGAAAAAGATGCATGATACGGAGTTAATAGAGATTCTGGTGATTGATGAGCTATTAGATGAGTTGTTTGACACTGCAATGTTCTATAAGATTGACTCGAAGTCAGGACACCATCAGATTTGTATGCGGTTGAAAAAATCGCACAATATGACATTTCGAATTCGTAAGGGTCACCATTAATTTCTGATTAAATCGAAATGATTGCTAGATGATAAAGAATTATGAGAACCAAACAACTTGATCCAACGACAATTTTTCCCATGTTAAGGACAAGGTGTATTTTGGGAGGGGAGTTGTTACGCCGATGCCTGCCTAAGGGCAATTTTTTTTTTGTTATTTATTATTATTTAATATAAATAGACCATAATAGGCCTAGGGATAGGGTATGCATGAGATTATTGTCTATGAGTCTTAGGGTCAAATCCTTCTTAATATAGCTCAATTTTATTTATAAATATGTGATGTTATTGCTGTCCTAAATATGAAAATAAAAAAATGAATCATCTTTTCCCATCTAACGTTAGAGCAGGTATGCATCATTCTTTCTGCTAAATCCTAAAGGAATTCTCCATTCATTGTTTTTCCATAATATTATTGGCAGTCATTGCAAATCTATGTAATTATTTCCCCCAAGAATAGTAGCCTGCATTGTTGAACAAATACAGTCTTCATAGTTCAATCCTACAGAGCCTTTTAGCCCTCATTGTTGATCTTCTACTGCCTTCATTGGTCAATACTAGTAAGTAGTTCAACCTGACAGACTTATGCTGTAAATTATCTGCTTTTTCATCTTCGAATCCTTACTTCCTTTTTTGAAATGGTAAAAAAATTCTGAGAATCAATATAGTACGATCACTTTGGCCTTTGAATCCATAATTTGGGAAATATAGAGTATCAGCCTCTAAGGTAATCTACAGCGGTTACACATTGATAAAACTCTTCTAAATGAGGAGGAAAGCAAAGTCAATTGAGCTAAGTCATTCCATTATTTCCTAGCTTTGGAATTCAATACAGTTAAAAATCAATGAAAATTGCATGCTCATAGCCACCACTCGAGATATTTGCAGAGTAATGTGTAAACCCTGCTACAAGATGCAATATGTTGCTCTGATGTACAAAAGCAATACTTAAATCTCATCAACTAAGCACAGTACGGTTTTAAACTCAGAATACCATAATTTAGTAAAATATTAATTTTTTTTTAATTAAAAGTGGATCATTACTAAAATATAAAAATGAAGTGCGGTGATGATGTTGCAACACAGAAAAAACTTACAAAAAAAGAAAGAGAAGTTGCTAATTCATTGAAAAATTTCAATGCAAAGTTTGATAAGACAATGCTGAGAAAAGACACTACATCCCCTAATGACACTTCCTCAATACTTTGCTTTGAGTAAAATTGGAGATCAATTATGCTAAAACCTCAAGCTATAGAAGATCCATGATATCTACGAGTCACTCGGATGATCTAGAGGGGAAACTTTTTTCCAGGAAAATACAACCTGAGAATAACAAGCCATTTAAATCAGAAGGCATATGGTAAACTTATTGAAAGCAGTTGTGTCACACAAAAGAAAACTACGTTAAACTCCATGGGAAAGCACACGTACCAAAATGAAGATAAAAAGATTCAAAAACTACGCCAGCAAGATCTCTCAAGCAAAAGCTCAGCATCAGTGAAAGCGGAGAAGTCAAGATGGTACAATTTGAAAAACATAGAAATTTCAAAATAATTTAATAATACATCCTGTTGTACATTTTCATTAGCTCAATGAGATAAAAACAATAGTCTGTACGTTTTCAGTGTCTTGGATTCTCCAAATCGTTAATCAGAAATTCTAGTGTTACTAAATATATGACATACGATTCAATCAAATTCGATGCTTATAACAAATCCTAGAAATAAATCATTATTGTAAATGAATGGATAAAAGTTGTTGGACAAAAAAAAAAAATCCTGCCTCCCTCTGTTTGAATGGATAAAAGTTGTTGGACCAAAAAAAAAAAATCCTGCCTCCCTCTGTTTCTTCCAAGAATTTTTTAGATGTTCCAGAGGTATCTACCAATCTTACATCAATGACCAAGTCAACAAAACTTAAATTGCTGAATAACTTTCTTTCATACACATGTTTTTGAGGATCAAGTTACAAGGATAACGATTGTATCTGCTAAATAGAGATCGGCTCTTCTCCAAAAAAGATAGGCTCCACTGTCTTGATTGAGAAAGTAAGTACACATAAAGAGAAAATGCTGCCCCTTTCTCGTTCATCGTAAAATCATTCCCCAAATACAATAAAGATTTAACAATCATCATCAACCCCCTGAACATCAACCATTTAATTTGCTTAAATATAATTTTCCTTTATAGATTACGACTAATGATATTAGCAGTTTCCATTGTGAAACTTACAAACATACCAAACAATATAGTGCAACCTATCCAAAAATAAAATGTCCTTTAAAGCCCTGTCTTGATAGATACTAACATATGTGGCCAGTCTAAAATTCTTAAATTTAAAGCAAGTTTACAACACTTATTGATGATTACAATAAAACGTATGTCCTCTATAAAAAAATGATAAGAACAATTTTTGAATTTTTCACTAAAATTATTAGGTCCAACATTATAAGAGTATTTCAATCAGACCCTTTCATTCGCTTCAAGCAAGGGGTCATCTATGAATAATCATGTGTTGACAAGCTTCGATAGATCAGAACTGTAGTGGGAAAAATAGACAACGCCTCAATTTTGCCCATGCTCAATTGTCTCAAAATAATGTTCTAAAGTACATATTCAAAAAAGTTGTCATAACATCCGCAAACATGATAAATATGATTGAATCTAGAGTGTCAAATTACCAAAGTAAAACAACTTCCTTTTTTTCATTAATTCATTTTCATCCTGATTTTAATGGGCTGGCAAAATATTACCCAAAGTATTTGGTACTATCTTTCGTGCATATTTGAGCTCACAATATTCGTAAATTTGATCTAATTGCACTAAAAAGCATATTTGTAGGACAGTCAACCGTCAAAAAGATTGTTAGTGTTATCATGTAATTGCCCGACAAATGTTGACTTCCATGAATGTCACATACCTTAAAAATGGACCCTTCTTATAAAGTCATTCAATTCAAGAAAATAGGGCATCAAAGGATAATAAGAAATTCTTTCACATTAAAATCTTCTCTACAATAGATAGAGCTTCCTCAAAGAAATTGCATCATATATAATACAATCTACGCTAAACGTGAACCTACTCTTAAAATACCTAGTTGGACAAAAATTCACTGTTGAAATATAAAGTACACGTGGACTGAGTTGCACTACTCCACTTCAAATATATTCAAGAAAAAGAACTCCCATTCCAAGATATGCAAATCAAAGAATATGAGCATGGCACTAAATTTGTTACTTCACTGATGAGCTTACCAAAGTTCTTAAGATCAAAGGACTTGGAAGGCTCAAGAAATTTATTTCTAACTTAAAAAATAGCCTAGATATTGTAAGAGAGAAACAAACAAACACCGATCAAACCTTAAAATAAATTAGGTGAAGAAAAAAATGATGGTACACTATACAGGTCTATATCATAGATAAAATGGAAGGCCGGCATACTTATCCTAGCTTATTTTGTTAGTGTAATGAACCACTTCATTCATGATGCTAAGAATAACACTTGTAAACCATCCAAGGAAGTCTACTCTATCTCAAGGCCGCACCAAGAAAAGGGGTCTTATTTAGAAAAAAAAAAGAGCTTGACCTTGAGACTAGTACAAAATAAGATTATGTTGGCCTGATTATAAAAAAAAAATCCACATTATATTATTATAGCTTCTTTAGAGGAAATTTTCAAACATGAAGAAGTAATAAGAAAGACATGATTTTAAGATCAAGTGCACTTTAGAGCCATGGCTCATGGATTTTGTGAACATCTTTGCATGAAGATAATCATTGAGCTTAAAATATAAGTGAAAGGCGCTGAAAGCATTACAAAACTCTACTGTAATGGTAAATCTACCATCAATATTTCACATAATCTTATACTACATGAACAAATCAAACACATTGAAGTATACAATACTACAGAAAGAAAAAATTGGACGGAGGCTTGTCCAGTGCTCCTTAAATACCATCAAATAACTAGCCAATAGATGGCATAACTAAGCAATTCCCTGCTTCAAGGCTTCAAGAAATTACACAAGCGAAGAATGGAAAACATTTCTTCATCAACATGACAGGGAGCTGAAAATCCAAAATCTATATATAAAACTTTACCTTTCATAGAGTAGCTAAATATGGAATGTCCTAATTATGTAAGTATTCGGACTAATGCTGTGCTCCCCAAGAGAATCAACACAGCTGAATCATCATTTAATGAGGTAAGCCAGTACAACTTTTCTCAAGCAAAAGTGAATGATATTCCCCAAAAATTAATTGGTCCAACCATGAAAATGAGGTACAAATGTTGCACTCCAAAGAAAATTTACACAACCGACTCATCACTTAATGAGTTGAACCAATAAAACTCTTCTCAAGCAAAAGTGAATAAAATTCTCCAAAATTAAATGGTCCAGCCATGAAAATGAGGCCCTTGTGGAGATTTCTTCTACATTTATTTCTCATATCTATAAGTATCTCCAAATCTAGAATATTCAAAATTGTAGGAATGATTGAAGGTCAAATCCTTCCTAATGTAGCTTAACTCCATGCATAAATATGCAATAATAGTACTGCCTTGAATATTAAAAAAAAAATAGAATCATCTTTGCCAAGTTATTTCATGATTGGAGTTCTTTTGAGCGTACCAAATTGCATTAAACCTTGGATATTGATGCACAGATCACCATCCAATTCAATTCTTCAAAACACATAAAGTATGGATATTATACACATCCATTATGCTTTCACCATCAAACCTAAACAGTGTATGCTCCGATTTTAAAATTATAATGATAAGAATGCTCCAAAAGAAAAGATTAAAGTATGGATATTATTCACATCCAAAATGCTTTCATCATTAAACCTAAACAATGTAAACTCCGATTTTAAAATTAAAATGATAAGAATGCTCCACATGATAAGAATGCTCCACAATAAAAAATCCTTGATCCCTGAACTTACATCACACATATTATGAGAGCTTACTAAGGTTGAGACCAAAAATATTTTCCAATATCAATTTTTGTGTACACTAAAGAACCCAAAAAAAGGTTGATGTAAGATCGAAAATACCCAAGTAGTCAAGCAGAAATAGATACATCATCACTGCCAACTTGGGCTAGCCAAACCTCATCGATCGAACGCATTGGGCCAACCCCACAATTAGATTGAGTGCAATAAGCTACATTTTGTCCATTCCAACGGCAAAGTTGTCTACTATTATCAATAGGTCAAATCCAACAACAATAATGAAATGCTTTGGTTGGGTGTGCCGCATAGATTAATTATCTCACAGGAGTCGACCAAACCATAAGCAGGATCAACTATAACATCGTCTAGGTTGAGTAGGCCTATCATGAGTTGACTACAATATCTATTTCTTAATATTAATGCTATTTGCAAGAACAAATTAGCCAAATAGAAGATTCATGATTCAAGTTGTTCAGATATTGCAACGTGCATAAACTGGTTGAAATGATTGTTAGATGTTGATTCACTATAATTAGCCCAAATTAAATATAAAGATCTATTAAGAATAACTTTTCATAGTTTTATTTTTCAAATCATGACAACACTTCTGCATGGTTACTAATCTCTTGCAGTTTTTAAAGATTCTCTACGATAAGAAGCTGTATTTTATAAAAACTGCTAAATTATGGCAGCTATGAGAAAACTGATTTATGCCTGAAAAAATATTTATTATACTCATAGTATCTTTCAAAGAAGTTATTTAACCCACAACATCTTCATAACTACCAAATCAAAATCTGCAAAAGCCCCCAGTAGACCCAATATTAAATTAGGACAACATCTTCAAGGCATCAAAATGGGGACCAATTGTCAATTTATTATTTTGTTTTGAATTTTATAATAAAATAATACAAAATTGACATCCATGCAAGAGAACAAGTGAGCACAATAAATCGTTGTTACTCCATTTTCTCCTTGATTATCTAAACTCTGCTTTATTTTAATTTTAATAGTAACTTAATTTAAGAGGATTAATTAAGGCTCCTAATATTAACAAATAAAAGGCTATTAAAAATGTATTTTACATATAAGACAATATATTATAACTCGAAACTTCTAATTTTAAATAGTCAATTCTCTCACTTCACTATTCCAAAATAGCCTAAAATCCTACTTGTGTTCTCTTAAACTAAAATCATTCTCTCATTATCTCCCCCCCCCCCCCCCCTCTCTCTCTCTCTCTCTAATTCCTTGCATGTAAAATAAGTTTAGATAATCAAGTAGGATTTTAGTTTAAGAACCTAAAATCCTACTTGTGTTCTCCTAAGCTTTTAATGGCTTCATTGCTACAAGAACTTAGATGCATGAAGCATGGATGGTTCCGTTGCAATTTAGTAAAATTTACCATCTTGATTCTATCATATTGACTTTTCTCATCATACGCCTGAGCCACTTTAACCACACAGCTACAACTTCAAAAATTATGTAATAATCTACACATTTGATTTTTAGTATAATAAAACCAGGGTACTTAAACTTTTGCATGTGGGTTTCACTCAGCCTTCAAACATGAATATTGGCATATATTGATAGAATTATTAATAAACACAATCATCACGGTGGTTTTTGGAAAGATAAATTAGGAGGGATGCATTCGTAGAAATAGCAAAGCATTAAGTATTCAGATGTAGCATATATATTTTTTAAATTTTAACAAAAATAAATAAAACCTATCATAAGTTTTGGGGCATAAGATAAGTCTACAAGCCCCCCTCTCCCTCCCTTCAAATTAAAAATGAAAGAAAGATGACTGGGAGGTACCATGCAGTTTGAAAACATGTTGAAGATTCCCTGACAATCAATAATATACTAAAACCACTTGAAAGAACACAGAAATTTGGCTTCTCAAAGGTTGAGCTAAGTTCACGGGGAAAACTAAATCATGCTATTGGCTCCACCCAATACGGGTCCACATGTCCACCCCATTGTGAAACGACAACCTAATGCAAAGCACAACTAGCAAACGAACCAATGGCTTCAACTCTTCAAGCTCAAAAAATGACGATGAAAAATAAGTTGAGAAAAAACTCCAAAGAAAAACAAAACAAACGTAGCAGCATGACTGAACTCACCTCAGTTGCCCCAATATTCTCTATCACCGCGATCTTGTTCCCTAAGAAATCCGACAAGATGCAGAGTATGAGCGCGAGGAATATGATCAGATAAAGGCTGCAGGGGAACAACGGAGGAGAAAATAAACCTCGAAGGTCGAGCTCACGCTCTTTAATGGCGTTGAAGAAGTGGGGGCTCTTCCAAATGAGATCGGCAGTCAGCCTGACCATGGCTCTCTGGGCACTCCTAGCAGAAGAACGAGAAGAGGCGTCTTCTTCTTCCTTCTCCCGCCACTCTTCTCCGTTTTCAGAACCCTAAGGGAATAGGCAGCGCGTGGAGACCAGAGGAATAGGGTGCGCTTTCTGTGTATTTGGTTTGAAAGATATGCAGCTTCGCAAATAAATAAATACTCATTCAAAATTTTGGCTTAAATTCTAATTTTATTGCTCATATAACTCAATTTGATTTTCTATATCAATATTTTAAATTAGTTTGATCTATAATTTTATAACAAAAAATTATATGCAACCATGCATGATTGATTACCTGAAGAAGATGCCCCCGCACAATACATAAGTTGAACTACAATAAAAATAATTTTATTTATTTTGGGAGCTAGAAAAATTACTTTGATTAAATAATAATTTAATGTCTGCGAGACTCACAATAGACCTAGATAAAGAAAATGGATAGGAGGAGGCACCGTGAATGTTTATGTGGAGAACCAGTAAAAAAAAAATCACGATGCATCATTTTTTCAAAATGATTCACTGCAAGGTTGTAAGCACAAAATAGATTCTTATCCCACAACTAAAGAAATATCACAATGATACACCAAGTACAATACTTGTTTGTACACCGTATACTGAAAGATTTGTTATGTTGTGAATGTAATATTTGATAACGGATGTCACTTGAAGTTATTGTTAGTCATTTAATACACCGTATTCGATGTACGTTATTTCATAGTATTTTGTATATTTCACTAATTAATAGTGTCCACCAACTACGACAACCAGGGGGGCGATCAACGGTGGTTGATGTCAGTCGGTGAGCGGTGGTCAACGGCTATAGAAGCCGAGAGTTATTATCAGGTCTTCGGTCTAGAACAACACTAGAAATTGACTAATTATTTCTTCTTTTTCCCTCCAACTCAAGTGAAGAGCGGGTGCTATTTATAGGCCTTGTTGAAGGTATTATAGTCATTTGACTAAGAACAACCATAATCGCCGATCAAATAACTCATATTGATTCCACTTGATCATATAAGTTTTTCTTATGATCAAATGGCCTTAATGACCTTAGAATTAAAATAGCTTAAGCTCATTGGATTCCTTTTTATAGAGGCGATTGATTTGACTATCATGTCAAGATTTCAGTTTATCTGACCCTTCAATCGACTATCAAAAGTCTTCAAGTATGGTTTAATTGCTTGATTTGATTTAGATTATCTCAATTTTTGTATATTTTGGTTTGTCTCATCGAGGCAATCATTTTAATGGTAAATTTGTTAAATCAGACCTGTAGATGATGAACGAAATTCACTCAAAAGATGTATTAAAATCTACGTCAAATGTCTAGAATTCATTCAAGTTAATAAAAATTCAATGATAACACATTAGTTGCCTCTCTATTTTTGAAAAAAAATTATTTGTATCGTCCGAAAATAAACAATCCAACAATTTGTACTTTAAAGTGTTTATGGTTAGCCTCTATATTTTGTGAAGCTTAGATGAACTTGTCATTGTTTTGATGGGTGAAGGTAATAGCTATAGTCTAAAAGCAATGATGTCGACCGGGCAAGGTTACTCCAATGGTAGTAGTGCCTAAAGGGTAATGTTAGGCGCATGAATGTGCGGACATCAATGTGCAAGTGCACTTGTGTGCTCGTATATAAAAAAAAAAAAAGAATTGGGCATTAAAAAGACTATGGGCTCCATAAGCAAACACAAGTGTAAGTCGGGACGGGATGTCAAGCATGGGGACGAGCCAAATCGTGTGTGGGAGCAAGCACGGCGAACGGGCGTGTGAGGGCATGCATGGGTCCAACCCCAAAGTAAAAGGAAAGTTTTTCATTTGGCTTTGAGGCTATGGAGTGGCGATGATGATGTTAATAAAGCCTTTAGCTTCTAGAATGTTTACTCACATTCATCCGACCAAGTGAAGTGCTTCACCCACCACAATGTTGATCCAACTCGCAATTATGCTGATTTTTATATTTCAAAAGATAGGCAAAAACTTGACCTAATTTATATTTAGCAACTAATGTGAAAAAATGAAATGTTATAAAGTTTTGAATAATAGTTTTCACATTATGAATATTACACAACTATATGTATCGTTTCAAATAATATAGAATTTTCTATAAAAACTCCATTATCGTTCCCACGGGAATGCGATAACTCTTTGTATAAACTTTTAGTGAAACTTTTAGTTAAACTGTAGAAATTAATCTAGAAAATATAATACCAAATTCAAGTGTAAATTAAAACTACTAAATTTCTACAAGTTCTGTTTAAAACTAAATGTAAATGTATAAATTCTAAATTATGCTAAATGTAAAAGAAAGTTCCAATTATGAAAAGAATATTTTCCCTTGCAATGAGTTCATAATTTGTGTAGGAATCAAAATGTTTAAATGATATATTGTGATAAATAGGAGCATACATATTTTTTATCTTCTCTCAAGTGCATAAAGAACATTAGCTAATCTAAAGTAAGTTTCAGATTGTATGGTAGTGCTGAGTAGATTCTAGCATCTCACTTTCAGATTGCCCATTGTACCCTCTCTATAGGACCTACCAGGAACTCAGGTTCCGACTCTAGACAAAATTGGTAAAGAATCAAATTTGTCACCCTAGAAACACCAATTTTACGCCCATCAAAACTTATCTCTCTGTCTATTTGCACTCTCCTTAGATTTTGGTCGCCCTTTTCGTAAGGTTAGTGTGGTACTCACTAGTTGGGTGAAATCATAACTCTCTCGGGTCATTATGTTTCACAACAAATTTTAACATTACAAGTGACCAATTTGCAAAGTAAATGAAGAACTGGTGAACATACTATCATAATTTTGGAAATAAAAGAAGTTCTAAACAAATCAAATCCTTCACATTATTACTTCTTATTACAAAGAGAAAGAAAAGGAAAACTTCTCAGAATTCATGGGGATAACAAAACAAAACATCATTTATATTAAAACTCAAGTTAACAAAACAAAATATAAACAAAAGTACAAATACTTATCTCAAACTCTTCTTAAAGCAATTCTCTGAAGTTGGCTGACTTTCTTGACTCTAATAGACTCTTACAAGACTTACAAAACTTCAACAATCACAAAGACTCAACGCTTTCTCGCTATGGTGGCCTACTCTAATGAGGGTCAAATCCACTCTAAAACGACTTCACACTCCTCTATTTTGTTTAAAATTCATCCCTATATGTAAAGCTTTGAAAATCGTAAAGGATTGCTTCAGACACCTCTTCAGAATTCGTCTAAAGTCATAGAATAAAAGGGGTAATTGTTTCTGGCGCCAAATCGTGGCGTCTAGGCCCCAATCTCGTATGGAATCTGACGCTTAGGCGTCACAGCTTCATGGCTCCATTTTGCATCAATTTTCACTAATTTTCTTATAAACTACATTTCTTGTACCTGAAACAACAAACATGCAAAATAATTTTCACTAAAACAAAATGTCATAAAAAATAAGCATGAAATGTATATATAAAATAGCTAATTTTAAGGCATGTCAAATGACTTGAAGAAAGCTGTGCATTTATCACCTAACCGAGAAATGAAACAGCTTATCCTTGCAATTCTATTTGTCAGCCTTTAGATTTCATTCATGTTTCAAGGTGATGGCGTACATTCCCAGACCTTTTTTGGGTTGGATTTTATTCCATTAGGGGTTTGGAGGTATTCAAAAAACTTTTATTTTTAACATGCAAAATGTGCACTTAAGTTGATTGAATTGTGTGTTTTCCTTACGATTTGAAAAGTTTCTCTTAAGTCTTTTTTATGTATTGTTATGGTGTTTTACTTTTTACTAAATATCATTAAGATAAACTTCAATAATCTTCTCTTTCTATTTATAAAAAATCACATCCATTAGCTGTGCAAGTAGTTTTAAGTCTAAAGATCATTATATTGTAATAGTACATTATCTCGCCTGTAATAAACAATGCATCTTGAGTTGGTGGTATCTAAAGAAAGCGTAGAGGAAGCCGTGGTTGATCGATCAACCACTACATCCATGAGTGCATCAATCTTTTGCAAGGGTAACTATGTTTAGGATAAATACCATTTAAGTTGGTGAAATCAACACACATTCGTTATTTATCACTTACTTCTTAGAACTTGACTGCATTGGCTACCCATTTTGAGTATTATACCTCCCAAATGTAACAAGTTTTCAACACCTTATGTACCTCTTCTCTAATTGACTTACTTCTTAGAACTTACTTCTTAGAACTTGGTGTTGATCTCTTTTTTTTTGGCAGTCTTATTGGTCTCAAGATCTCCTCATTGGGTGTCAAGCTCGAGAGGTTCCTAAAGAATGTTGTCAATTGAGCAAGGGTAGCAGGAACAATTGCACTAGATTGCTCCAAAGGGCGATCACCTATCTATCACATGGGAAAGCCACTGCTACATGTTACGTAGAAATGACAACTTAGAAATAATTTTGTATAGGGTGGCCAAAGATGATGTTATAAGTTGATGGTGAGCTAGCCATGATTAAATATGTTATGACGATGAATTACTTCTCATTTTCTCCTCATATGACTGGCAAAGTGAATATTCTTATGGCTTCTTTCCTCTCGCCAAATAACCTATAGGGCGGCTAAGGTGGGCATGAAAGATGTGAGATGCCTAGGTCTATCTTGTGAACACCAATTTAAACAATATGTTTACCAAGCTTCCAATGTTGATAAGTATGCTATTGACCTAAAAATTGTCAACCAAAGTAGTTACAACAGTAATGTCATTGTACAAGTTACCTTTAGGAGGCAAGTCTGCATAAGTAAAAAAAGGGGGTGCAAGTTGCATCGTAGTGGTAGGATGGATGCGCATAGTTTTTTTTATCAAAGCCTCTTCAAGCTGGTTTAGCATGTTGAATCTTCTTCATCCCTATGATGTTGGCAGAAGCTACAACTATCATGTAGATTACATGAGCACAGTCTGGCTCACTTGTTATTTCTCTAGCAGAAGCTTTTCCTTGTTGTTGGGTGGTTGCATCAAGGGTTAGAAATTCCTTCAATTTTATAGACTTGATCAAATATTCGATCAAGTTATGAAGGTGTTAACATGTCATCCTATCGTCGTCGAGATCCCAATGGTACACATATTACTTCTTTAAATCTCAGAGATAAGCTTCG